GCGAATGCATTCGTTGCTTGATATTTTGGTGAATTTTAGGTTGAATATACGAAACCAGTTTCCCTGAAAAAGTCATCTACAAAGGCATCCTTTTCCTAGAGCAGGTACCCATCATATGCTATCTGCCTGAGGAATGTGCAAGAATTTTTCTTCTTTTACACAGCTTTCATAATCACATATTTTTTCACAACATAAATAATCACAATTATTTTTATTTGTTAAGTTAAAAAAAAAAAACTCAATGACATATTATTTATAAATAAAAAGATAAAAATTAAATGCGTCATCGGCATCATTTTGTTAGTAATATCATTATATAATCTATTGTACTTTTTTTTTTTTTAGTGTACTGGGGAATTAAAGAAAATTTCTCAAAAGTATCATCATGTTTTCGTAAACTGATATATAGTGTTAAATTATTATATTAAATTTCAGTTTATTATAGCAGAAATCGTAAATAGCTGCATTATGTATAGCTCTTGCTTCACTGAGCTTTCGGAAGTTAATCTGCGTCCATCCGCATAATCGAGAAGCAGGTCGATTTGTTTCTCAGTGCAATCGCTGTGGGATCTTAATTCTACATTGACCGATGTTCTATAAATTTAAAATATTTTGCCCTGCCTAAATTCTGTAGCTCTCTACATTCTAAAACTTTTGCCATCCAATAAAAATTTTTGTGCCAAGTGCCAAAATTCTTAGAATTTCGCCATCCCTAAATTTTCTTGTTCGATGCCTCTTTAAATTCTAAGAATTTTTCAGCCATTAATCTGCCTCCTGGCCAGACGTGTTTTTCGATGCCACATATGTCACTGAAAAAGGTTGAAAAATCGGAATTTTAAAAGCAAACTTCCTACTTTTCATCAAATAAATTTTATCGATTAGCAGTGCTATGGAAGCATTAAAACATTTATGTAATAAATACACAAATACTTCAGAAACATTTTTTTCTCTCTACTGAAGAAAGGCCTGTCTCTGACTACCTGCGAATTTGATTAAGTTTTATCCAAAATCTACGTCAAAGCGTTTCTTTTTGGCCTAATATTAAATTTTACATTGGCATGTTCCTGTCCCTATGCTTGATGTTGACAAGATTTATTCAAAAACTTACTGTTCTTATTTTTTATTTTAAAACAAACAATTTAAATGGAAATCCTCAGGTTGCTTTTATTTACTTAAATAATAACATTTGATAATGTGAATTGAGATCTCTAAGTAATTTGCGTATTAGAACACAAAAGAAAGTTAAGCACCATTTTTTAAGCTTTTGTTTTGGTTTGCTTTATTTTACTTCAAAGCACGTAAGAGCTATCTGCCTAAAGGGAGGAATGCCTCTGTGGAGGGCATTCTAAGAGAAACTTGCTCGCGTCCACATTATCCGCAGAAAAAAACCACAAAAATTCCACTTTGAAACATAAAAATATCTAATATTTTACATCCTAAACGGTATTGATTAATTGATTCTATTCTATTCTATTTTATTTTTATATTATTTTATGTTCTCTTTGATTTGTTTTACAAAGTTTGCATTATTTATCTTTTTATTATCTTCTGTTTATTTCACTTTACTTTGATTTTGATTTCATAATGACAATTTCCAATGTTTAATTTCTACAAATAATATAGTACTCAAATACATAAAAATGATAGTGTCGGGGACGGTTACTCGAGTTTTACAGGATTTCTCTACAGTAATTGATTTTTACTCGAAATTGAATTGACTAAAATGCTTCATGAGAATAAGTTCTTTGAGTAGCAACTATTCGCGGAAATATTTGGCCTGACTAGAATTGCCGGTTTGGCTTTAATTTATAACTCGAGTAAAGACGAAACACTTTCATATTTACGTATTTTTATCAATTATTGATCACTGAACGGGAGTTGGTTTGTTCCCCTTGAAAAGTCAACTAATTTCCGATCAATGACAATAATTACATGTTTTAATTTTTACTTTTACAATTGTAATATTATTCTTCGTGATGATTTAACTCCAGTCCCCGTTAAAACATTATTAACATTTTGCTTTCAAATTACTTCAAAACATCTTTCAAAATATAACTTACCAGTATGGATGCACACTTTTAAATTAATTATACTTAGGAGATAATATAATCAATTAATCAATACCGTTTAGGAAATAAATTATTATTAACTATGCAGCAATTGCGCAAGTAATAATAACTTGTATTCGCACTAAATGGATTTAAGTTCATACAACATTTAATATTTTACATCTATATTTTTAAGAGCGAGATTTTCCTAAAAATGAATTTTAGCAATTTAATGCAAGTGCTATATTTAATTAAGAATTAAAACAATGTTCTTTTGTGATTTACATAAGGTAACTCTTTCTGTCAAAAATAATCATACAAAAATGCATCGAATTTCACTACCATGTAATTTAGTTCGGAAACTGAGAGGTATCTGTGATATCTTGTCTGTATGTAGACAATTTTTAATCAGGTTATTATGACTAAAATTTGTTTCAAAATATTCAATATTTCATAACTTCTATCAAGCAATAAATGAGATAAAGGTAAACTTCCCTTTCATAAATATGAAACAAAATAAATTTGTGGTAAAATAAATTACAAACAATATGTCGAAATGACTGAGCCTGAGCGTGTGTTTGTTAATTTAATAGTATTTTAACTATCAATTACATGTAACTTTCAATAGGAATTAGGTATTTTAATCCTCTTATAAATATTTTCTTAACATTAAAGCTCGATAGCATGAATCAAAAGCAGAAAATTAGTTAAACTACACAGTCTCACTAGTTCATAAGATTATATTACTGAGATGTGCATATAAAAACAAATTAACATTCTATAAACTACTGAATTCATAAAACTGCGATTAAAAAATACTTTAAGAATTATGGTATAATAATGCTATAAAAATTATGATATTTGGATTTTTGCTTAATACAAATGAAGCTAATTTTATATATATAGGGATGCGCATTTACCTTTTCGCCTCAGGTGAAACAATATCTTGGCACGGCTCTGATAAGCAATTAAGATCAGAAATACGCACAATATTAGTAGCAAAACAATAGGAAACTCCCTTTCTTGTTTTGAATTTCCAGAAAAAATATTTTTTTTCATCTAACCAAAGCATAGACACAAAACGTGTTCCTCCCTCTGTAAGGGCAAAACCAGCCCATCTGCTTAATTGCCTCTAGGCAGTAATCAAAGGACAGTAGGAAACCATCACTTAAGTGAAACGACTTGTTGATCGCCCTACAAGGAAGGGGGAAGAAAATCTAACAAAGGCCGTTTTCAAAACAATTTTAGTTCACTCTAAATGCAAAATAATCTGTAAACATGGCTAATTTTTACTGCAGTTTTCGGAACATAAATAGAATCGAATGCGAGCCGGCTGGTGGGTTAAAAGAGCAGGCGTAAAATACTTACTCTAAATCATTTAACTGTAGGAATATGATAATTTATTCCTAAACCTGAGAAGACGGTATAAGTTGGATGACTATCAGTTGGAGGATTCGTACATAGCGTAATTACAAAATTGTATATAATGTAAAAAAGATAATTGTTTTCAGACTTTTCTTATGCTGTTACTAAAAAAATGAGCCTATTTCATAATCTTTAGCCTGTCAAATAGCTTGTTGACAATGAAAATTACTTTTTTCCTTTTCTAAATTTCATCATTCCGACATGACAATTAGCCAGAAATTAATTAATTTCCATTCACTAGTTAGTATATTTAAAATTTTAACAAATGTTTTCACTCACATAAGAACTCCACAACAAACATCCCTCAAGCATTCCTAGTCCCTCCCATGTCCCATATATTACTTCTCACAAGTTTCGCCGCCTGAAATAATTCAAAGTATCCCTGCTGCTGATAATGAAATTTCGGACACACACCCCTTTTGAGTAAGACACTGAAGAGAACACTTTACTGACATCCCACTAGAAAGAGCGTAAGTTAACTAATGCATTTTCTGGTCTTTTATATCTTCAGGTACATTTCACATTTCTTATTATGTATATATATATACTAATTTTTCAATTTTTATTATTTGATTTGCTTTTGCAAACATAACATTATGTTTCTTAATTTTCTAATGTTTATTTCAATTACTTTGAGTTCCATTTCATAATTCCAATTAAGATTACCACTGTTTAATTTTTATACAAATAGTTTTGAATTAACATGCATAAAAGCGAAGGTGTCGGAGGACATTTACTCAAAATTTATATAGAATCTTGTATTAGTAAATGCTTAATACAGAATGAGTTCTTTGGTACTAAATCCCATCACTTCACGGAACTACAATTTTGGCCTAACTAAATTTGCCAGTTTGGCATAACCATTCTTACTTAAGTAAAAGACAAAACACCTTAGGATTTATTAATTATTGTTCATTGAACGGGAGCTGGTTTGTTCCCCTTGAAAAGTCAACTAGTTTCCGTTCAATAGCAATAATTACTTGCTTTTAATTTAATTTCTTTTTCAAAGTTTGAAATTTTGTTATTCATGATTTAATTCAGGTCCCCATAAAACATTTTTAATAATTTACATTCAAGTTACTTTAGAACACAATTTCGGAATTAAACTTCCTACATATGGGTTCAATATTTTTTGATACTTTTACTAAATTTTAGGAGATAATATAATCAATATCTCATTAGTAAATATATAATTCATATATATATATATATATATATAATGTTGCATATATATATATATATAATAAAAAAATTATAAATAAATAAATAAAAATTCATTTAAAAAGATAGTAGCAGCAAAAACACATATGCTAAAACAATATGTTACAATAACAAATATTTTTAATAAAGTAATATGTGTGAAATAATTTTGTACAAATAAAGTGTAGCTTGAAATTTAAATACACATTTGTTTTCTTAACATGCATGATAAAAAAAAGTTGTTTTAATAATTTTTATATTTTATAACTTGTATAGTTCAAGAATTAAAACATTTCCACAACATATATAATAAAAAATGCTACAAACCAACGTGTTTTCAGAGGCTATGTCCCTCCAACTACGACATACTTGACTTGCCCTAAAGGAAAAAATATCGATAATGAAAATAAAATAAATGAATCACTTCATAAACTAGATTTCTTAAAAATCTCAAACATCTTACATTAGACAGCAGAAATTAAATTTATTCATTTAGTTTTTATTATTAAGTTTGGATATTCATAAAAAATTTATTTTCAGTTTAATAATTAAACATAATAGGAAGACACATATATTTTGAATTGATGTTTTGTTTCTTACATTGATGAACTCTGAAATTAATCCCCCTCTCAACTCCTAAAATGCCCGACTTGACAAGAATTGTTATTATTATTATTTAACTTCCACATTCCTCAGAAGAACGCGTAAACATGCTTGGAAGTAAAATATCAGAATATTAATAACAGTCTAATGGCTACTTTTTTTCTTAGGCTCTTCATATAATACTACTCCTTTTTAGTTCTGTTCTTGGGGTAGAATTGCAATAGTAAGAGTCAACAGCTTTCTAAATTTGCCCTAAGCCTTTATAACTAGCTTACGTTTCTGAAATAACCATTTTTAGCATGTCACAACTTTAATCTTGAGAAAAACCAGCATATATTTAGGCAATGATTAAGATTTTCATCGCCCTAAATGAAATTTCAACACTTTTTGTAAATTCAGAAAATAAATATTTCAAGTCATAAACGTCTATTGTTTGAGCTAAAACATTTTCGGTCATCCATAAAAACCAGATGTGCCTATTTTTCTACAATTTTTTTAATAATTAGAAAAACTTTTTATTCAGTACATAAATTCTAAAAAAATATCCTCATTAATTCTCATAATATCATATAATTCATTTATATTTAATAATCAAATTTAACCTGTTCGATAATATAAATATTTGTTTATTTACAATTTACTTAACATTTAATTTATTACATTTTAACTTGTAACTTCATGATTTAATTTAAATTTTAATAGGTTAGTAAACTTTGCAATTATCTCTAAACATTACTGTTCATATTTAGAAGGAAACATGCAATTTTCGTTTAGAGTGATTTTTAATATTTTAGCTTAAATTTATAAATATGCATGTGTAATAATGAAGATAATAATAATTCGATGAAGCTTTTTGGCATTGGACTTTTACCCGAGACATTGTGCCTTAACATCAAGACATGTATTTTGGTTAGAAATAGCTAGACATATTTTACTTCTAGCAAGTCTTATAAAATTCACAAGCATTTCGGCTACAAATAATTAACGATTTAATGTGATGTTTCAAGATTCTACTTCTTCCTGTTCCCTCGTCTTCAACAATAAATTCACTAATATTACCATTTAATAAGTGTTTACTGGGTTTCTTTGTAACTGAATATGTATCTGAATTTCTACTACAACATTAATGATTCAAATATATATTTTGTCTCTGATGTGAAGATAACATGTTTGCCTTTTTGACACTATCATGTGGATAAGTCAAGGTTTATCTGTTTATCCAGTTTTAAGTTATTAAGGCCCACAATAATCAAATCTTAACATTCTATTCGGATTACTGTCAGTTTCAATGCAAACATGCCGAAAATCAAAATTTAAATTATCCCTAAATTTTGGGTTACTGATGAAGCAATTCAAAAAATAATCAAAATAACTATGATAGATACTCTTTAAAAAGTAACTAAAATATCTTTCAAAAAATTAAACTATAATACATATAATAATTTTTCTAACACAAATAAAGATTTTTTCCAACTTTGTGATTGGAATGCAGATATATCTATATGATACAGAAATGAAAAATCAATTCAAGGAATGGAATTATCTATCTTTTGCAAGGACTAAAATGTTCAAAAACCAAGCAATTCTGACAGAATGTGATGGTGTGGAAGTAACAACCACATCGTTCTCCCCCTTTTTTTTTACTGCATTATGATGAGCAAGTAAGACACTAAAATACACTTAGCTTCAAAAAGCTGTTAGAAAAATAAAGCTGAACATGAACCTAAATGCAATCCATGCTCATTCTGATAATGCACTCCCTTAATACATATTTGGCAATAATTCATATGACTGACAAACTAGACAGGATAATTGTCTCTGATCAACTGTAAGACCTGATCTCACTGAAGCTGAACATACGACTTCTTCATCGCAATAAAGGAAAATTTATGGGTACAGTGACATGTTGATAAAAATTAAGTGATTAGCTGTAAAAAAGTAATCCAAAGAGAACCCAAGTTAAGTTCAACACCAGCTTGCAATAAATTCTACGTTGAATAATACTTTTGCTTAGAGGAAGAATTAGTGCAGTTTGAACAACCTGTGTCACTTAATCAAAATGCTAGGCTGAATTTTGTGCTACTTTCAATGTAGCCCTCATATATCATTATGCATATAATATTATCATTTGAAATAAATCAAATGAGTACTTTTTTCATTTAGCGAGTAATGTTAATAATTTGATAAATTAAAAAAAAAAAGAAATAGAAACTGATAAATGAAAAAGCTTACCTCAATAAATCACATATATTCAGCATCTTAAATACAAATGGTAAGTATTTACAATCATTTACAGTAGCTTCTTCAGACGATGATGATGTATGATCTGAGCTCAACTTTTCACAAATAAGCTGATGTTTAGAACAAAGTGCCTCTGATTTTTCAGAAGATTCTTCACGTGTTTTGCTATTATTATTGGCACTTACAATTACATTCAATGCATTTTCCACATAATCTCTACAATTATCTTCAACAGATACAGATTTCAGATCAGTGTTTGCAGATGATAGTGCAGTTCTAGGAATATCACTAGATATAGTTTTTGAAGCAGACACATTGTTCTGTATGCTTGTATGATTACTCCACATGTTGGTAGAATTACTTTCAGGTGTAACAGAAAACTTAGTTTTTTTAGTTGGATTCGACACACATTCCATTTCCATACCTTGGACAAATGACTTAGATGTCTGATAACTACAACTAGGGACAGAAGTATTATACAGAGCTTCATTTCTTGAATATGTATATGAAGGCCGTTTTAACTGTTCAGTTAAAACAGTAAGGGGAGTTCGTACAGAAGAGAACTCAGAAGCATTTTTCTGAAGAACTGGTCGAGACATGTTCTGATTCATGGAAGAATGTTGAAGCCCACTACAAATATTACTAGCTGTAGGTTTTTTTATATTATAAATCATATACCTACATGATACAGGGTTATTTATTGCCGCACGTGGTATACCAAGACACTTTTGTTGATGTGAAGATAGTGAAGTAAAATTAAATGATGAGTTACTGGATGGAAAAGTCTGGGAAGAAGTTAAACCATGAGCTGCTGGCATGGTAGATGAAGACAATATCTTTAATTGGTTCAAAGTAGATCTTACTTCACCAAAATTGGAAGAATAATTTGATAAAGGATTATTTGCTATAGTTGGAGCAGTACTATATGAGCAACAGTAGAATATCTTTTTCTGGCTATTTTCAAAGTGAGGATTTGGCACACTCAAATGCGTGTATGGAACACCAGGAGTACAGTCAGACGTACAGTTGACTGGTAAAGCTGCAGAATATGTCTGACAGATTACTTCAGGTTCTAATAATGATGAATCAATGCTTTCTAAACTAGCATCATTAATCTCATCTATTGGAATGGAAGCCGTTGGAGAATTAATACGAAGCCTGTTGCTTTCAAGTTTCACAATGGTACATGGCTACAACAAAAGGAAAAAAAAATCTATTTTGTCAATGTACTCTATTTAAAACACACACACAACAACTCCAAATTAAAACAATAATGCATTTCATTTTCAAATTCAAAAAGTTGATTATATACATGGAACATTCACAAATAAAATGCATAATAGTGTCTAACATTATTTTTAAAAAATACAGTAAATAATTTTAATAGCTGTATAATACATCAGGACTTGAAAGACAAGGGCTAGGTCATTGAGCTTTTCCCCCCTGAAACAGGAAGTGAAAAGTGATGATGCAGTCATTCTGACACTGACCACAGAGATACAATTCACAGCAAAGAAATTAGCATTTTAAATTAGAAGAATAAACCTCAACATGAACTGGGGTGAAAAATAGCTATAATTTGGAAGAGATGGTGTTACTACAGCATGCATTTTATTTTAAACATTTAAAAAGTTAATAACACTTATTCATTAAATTAAAAATATGCTAAGGTTTTATATAAAGTTCTGTTTTCTTAAAAGTTACAGTACCCCCTCTTCGTATGCATATTAAGTAGCAGAATTCTATTACTGTTTCAAAGGTATCTATTATACCAGCTTATTTAAAGTTTTGCAATAAAAGCAATCTTAGACTGGCATAATTTTGAACATGTATAGCAATTCTTTTTTTCCGCTGCTAAAGAACAGGAACTTAAGTTTGATTGTCCTTGAAATCAATAGTTTTATTCAAGCTTTAATTTAATCTAAGGTTGCTTTTTGTCCTAATGATAGATTTTACATCAGCATGTTTCTCTTCTGATTTGATATAACAGATATTTTTTAAATAATTTTCTAACTTAACTCACATCTATATCATATATACGAGGTAGGATTCAAAAGTTCCCGGACTGAGTCTATAACATAAAAAATATTATGAATTAAATTGCAGAAACACACCCTTCTTCGAAATAAGACCCTTATGCAACAACACACTTTTGACAGAGCCTGTAAAGTTCATCGAAGCATGTCTAGAATCCATTTTTTGCCATGTCCTTTAATTCAGCCTGCAATGCACATTTAACTTATCTGAAGATTGAAATCAACGACCGTGATAGCATATTGCCAGTTCAGGAAATAGGAAGAAATCGTAGGGTGCGATAAGGAGGATGACAAAACAGTAGCTTTCGTTTTCTCAAGAAAGTCACTGACGAGTAGGGATCGGTGAGCAGGAGCGTTGTTATGCAACAACACCCATGACTGCTCAGCCCACATTTTTTGGATTGACTCATGCAAATGATGAGGGATTTTGAAGTAGAGTTGTTTGTTTACAGTGTGTCCTTCAGGCATAAATTCCAGATGCACAATGCCCTGGATATTGAAGAATACCTTTAGCATGACCTTTCCTTTAGAGTGATCTTGGAGGAATTTCTGCTTCCGTGGAGAATGTGGTGATTTCCACGTCACCAAAGCTCTCTTAATTTGTGGGTCATATAAAAAATGCCATTTCTTGTCTCCAGTAACAATTCTGCCAAGTAGGGAAGGATCTTTGTCAACAGCCGAGATTAAGTCTCTCGCCATTTCCATTCGAATTCCTTTTTTGTCTACATTTAACATGCGGGGAACGATGTATTGATATGCCCTATGCATGTTAAGATCGTTAGTCAGTATCTGCTGACATGTGGCCTCTGATATCCCAACTGATTCTGCTATTCGGCAAATTGTTTGCTTTCTGTTCACATGCATTGCCAAGGACACCTTTATGTTTTCATCGGAGAACGAAGTCACGGGTCGGCCACAGTGTTCGTCACCTTCAGCACTTTCCCTGCCTTCTCTGAAATGACAATGCCACTCAAAAGCTCGCATTCTTGATAACATTTCACTTCCATATACATGCTTTAACATTTCAAAAGTCTTCGTAGCACTCTTTCCCAAGCAAACACAAAATTTGATATTGATTCTCTGCTCAACTGACACTATTTTTTTCTATCACCGGTTACTAAATGCACCCTCCAACAAAAAACGCTGTCACTGCGAGCTTCAACCATGCGAATTGGGACAAACCACTTTTAGTAAAGGGGAAGATAGTAGTAACACAAAAACATTCTCGTTGTTGCACTCCTGCAAAAAACTATGTTACAGATTCAGTCCGGGAACCTTTGAATCCTACAACAGGGAACTTTACATGAGTATAATATGCAAAAGTTTAGTAATAAAAAGAGCACATAATTCAAACTTTTCTTTAACATATTATATCACACGTTTTTACAGCTTGTGTATTACATACATTTATAACTGAAATATTAAAAGCACAATACAGAAGTGTGCCTTGCCAAGATTTTTTTTAAATTCTAAATTGGCTCGCATCAAATTAAATGTTGGGCATCACTGATGCAGGTGTTAGTTAGAAGAACACTCCCCCTTTATGAACTAATTAACTTCTAAAAGAAATTCTTCAAACAGAAATTTGCCATATAAAGTATAATCATCAATTTGATACTCTGAGATGGCTTTGCCAAGGACATCCCCCCCCTGAAAATACAGTTCAAATAGGTACAAAAATTTGGACGATTTCCAATTTTTATGATTTCATAATTTTGAGATTTGTAAATTGGAATTAGAGAAGTGAGTTAAGTTTGAATATATATATATAATTACAAAACTATTCTTTTGAAAATAAAACACAAATTTGCCTAGTATTTATTTTCGTGCATTAAGCTGCAGAAAAATTATCATTAAAGACATAAAGTAAGAAATTTAGAATTAATATTTCACAAAGACCAGAAATTGAAATTCATAATTAATAAATTTCAAATAATTATATTGCAACAAATAATTTTAAAATGTTAAAACCAAAACATTTCAAACAAGCAAAATCCCACTTCAGAAAATGAAAAATGAACAAAAGAGAATACAAATTCAATCAACCTCAGTGTACCTTCATGAGGGGGGAGGAACTTTGAAATTAATTAAAACCTCTCTTCTACAAAAATCCTTGCTTTTTTTAATCCTGAATTAGCTGATGAACCATTTCAATGTATTTTAATTATAGTTATAATAGTTCACCCAAAAATTCTGGCCCTTCCCCAAAGCAAGGGAAAAGCAATGTAAATTCTAATTAGAAAAATTAGAATAATTTTAAAAAAGAGAGAGAATTCTTTTTCTTTTTAAAAGAATTGAAAACGAAAGTGGAAAAACAATATACTTCAGTGAAAAATTTTAAATCAAAATGTTTAACTTTACACAGATAATCTAATGAATTATACAAAAAGAAACATAAAAACAAGCAAATTTTTTTTAAAAAAAATTTAAATCCATCCAGTGCTATAGCTGCAGGATTGAAATAGAGTACACTTAAAGCATCTAAATTTACTATTAAACTAGCGGAAGTACCCGATGGTAGTTAAGTTAGATTGAGAGTAATGCATTTAACAACAGAGCAAATGATATCGCTGTAATCCTTCTTTAATAACGACGCAAAAATAAGATTCATAGTCATTCACTTTTCAGTCTGATGCAATATGGAATCCACAATAAAAAAGTTTGATAGAAAAATAAGATTATTATTATTATATCAGCAACAATGGCTCGCAGTTTTTAAGGATTTTCTTCTTTCTAATCAAATGGTCAAAAAAGCTCAAGTTCCATCCAATATTTCCCCTATATACAATTTTAGTCGATTAAATGTTGCAAAAAAGTGATCACAGTTAATCACAAATCAATAACGCGAACAAACACACAAACAGACATTCTTCCTTATATATATATATAGATTTTGTAAAACTTACAAATTTTTTATTAACAATTCAAAAAAAAAAATCAAAACTTGATTTTTCCCATCCCGGAACTTTCTCAAAGTAATGTAGCTTCCACTAGTGTGCATCATGATAACCAATTATGCAATTTTCCTATTTCTGCTCACTACTTAGATATTTTTCTGGTGTGAAGGTATATGGTTTTGAAACATACGCACTCTGTAATTTATAATCATTGGCATTGGCAAACTCTACGATCTAAAAGCGAGCAGTAGCAACACTTTTCAAAATAAAGCATCTTTATCTCTAATGTGTAAGACTGTTGCCATTCAGAAAAATTAGTACGAAAAAATGTTTTCGAAGTTTTTAATTAATATCTTGGCTGATTAAAGTTGTACAAAGATGGGAATACTAAAAATGGCACCCCATGAATTTTTGGAATCAGGAATTTAAACTTTGGTGATGCTATTTTTATTTCATTGTAAAACTTAGAAATTATTAATTTGAAAGAATAGGATTTGAAAGCGATCAGTGGTAACAACTTTTGAAATAAAGCAGACTTTTTATCTCCAGCTTGAGAGACTGTTGCCACTTTAAAAATGAGGGCGAAAATTATCATTTTTCCAAGTTTTTAATTACTATATCTGATTTTAGCTTTTTTTTTGGGGGGGGACGTCAACCTTTTACAGGACCCTAAAAAGAATTGCAGAAAGTTTGGTGACGATAACTATAATAGTGACTGAGTTATCGGAGGACAAACAAATATACTTCTTTATATATATAAATTGGAATCAAAGCAAGGCAATTCCTCTAAAATATTAATAATTGCAACTGTGTACAAGAAGTTTAACACAATATCTAAACAAATCAAATTTAAAATAAGAATTCATAGTAGAACAACAAACTTGAAAAATATAAATGTGAAAGGTAAAATATACAAAATTATACAAATAAAAATTAATCTCCTTTTATTGAAACTCCAATTCAGAAATCATCAGGGGAAAATGAATTGAAAAAAGTCGATTAATATGTTTCGAAAACATGTTTCGTTGCTTGGCATTTCTCCTTAAATGAAAAACAAATCAAGAGTTGAGGGGAAAAACTTAAACAATATAAGAAATTTTGACTATCTCATTTTTGTAAATTGAATAACTCATTTAAATTAATTTTTTCTAAAGCTCAGAAATATAAACTAAGGAAATGAAAATGTGCTATAATGATGATTTATAGCTTGTGCCCAGAAAAGTAATCATGCCCCCCCCGACATTGATGATTCATATA